AAATACTCTAAGGTAGCTTAGGATGCTCCCTGGGTCTCATTTTGACATAAACGTTAGGTGGCATGAGCCCCTTTAACATGTTTCATCTTAAGGTGATAAATTTGTAAAATGCTAGGTCTATGCATGCTCATCTCCTACGAGTAACTTTATGTTTCTCACCCTAAAGTTATCGGGGCATTTTTTAGGTACAAAGACTTGGTTCGTGATACTCGTCATTCCTTGGATGACTTGTCACTTTTAATTTTCTATTTCATGCAAAATGTTAGCATGAAATGTCATTTTGTAGTTTATATATCAAAACTTGTATCCTTTATTTCATATATGTAATGTGTACATAAGTACACCTTTTACGATGTATTTGACTTGTATGAGATGAGGCCGGAGGCCAATGACATTTATATTGCATCTTATGTAATTCTTGACTTCATGAAATATTATGAAATATTAAAAAATCGCAAGTCATTACTTCACCATATTTGCATCGGGTGTGGGAATTCCATTCTTTTTCTTTCATAGGGTCTTATTAATCATGTACGAAGTGTGGCCAAGGCCCAAACGGTAATTTGATACCATTTCACATTTTTGGTTTTCAAAATTCCGATTCCAAGTTCACTTTTATCATTTTTTGCCGTCGGGGGGTCGGATTTTGAGTCGGGGCTTCTCGGTAGCTGCGGACCATTCCCGCGCACTTGGAATCATTTATTACACTTGCGTGCACATTTGTTTCAACCTAGAAATGTATTTAGGGTCAAATGCATACTTGGTGCAAAGTTGCATTTTCTGAGTTTTTAACCTTTTTCAGATCTAGGGGCATTTTGGCCATTTCACAGTGTGTTTTTTCATTTTCCCTTGCAATGCCGGGTATAAAATTCGATTTTGGGAGGGGTTTATTTTTCGTGTTTTTCCAAAAAAATCCATCTACTAGCTCATTTTTGCTCTCAGTTGTTGACAGATTCAGAAATTCCAAAAGGCATCAGTTTTTTTTTTTTTTTTTTTGATCTAGGGGCAGTTTGGCTATTTCATAGTGCATTGTTTTCATTTTCTTCCACTTAGCCGGGTAGAAAATTTGATTTCCGCCGGGGGGGGGGGGGTGTTTCTTCTTCGTGTTTTTTTAGAAAAATTCGTTTGATATCCCGTTTTTGTTCTCAGATGTGGACAGTTATTGTAGCAATTTTTTTTGGCCCTCTTGACTTCTTCTGAATTAGGGGCATTTTGGGGATTTTGTAGTGAGTTTTTTTCGTTTCCTTCTATGTAGTCGGGTAGAAAACTCGATTTTAGAGGCGGTTTCTTCTTCGTATTTTTCCAGAAAAATTTATCTCGGACCTCGTTTCGGCTCTCAATTCTGGCTGAATCTTTTTCTTCCCCTAGCATGTCATGGTGCTTGTCAGGATGCTCGTGGGGTGCTTGTGGTGCCTCGTCTCGACATCATGACGTCGATTTTTGTTTTCGCTTATTCTTCTTCGTCCGGACTCCAAATCGAGTGAATTTTTTTTTTACCTTGGCTAATTTTTCGCTGTCTTTCTAACGGTATGCTCGGTTGTACCCATGTCTTCCTAGATAATTACCAGTTTATCCTTTTAGCCTTAAGTGCTCGTTTTTCTTTGTCTTGTCGTTTCTCCTTCGTTCAGCTCCGAATCATGCGATTCTTAAGTCCATCTTAATTAGTTTTTCGTTGTCTTTTCAGCGGTGTGCTCGGTGGCATCCGAGCCCATATTTTCAAAAATAACTAATTTGCCCTTGGGGCTATTGTTGTCCGATTTTTTTTGCTTTCCGCTTCCGCTACTTTCTTTTGAGTTCCGCGACTTCTCACGAAGTCACAGATGCGTTTCGGGAATGATATACCTTCTAAGGACGTAATTTCTATGTAAAATGACTATTTTGCCCCTAGGGGCTTAATTGTTATTTTTTCGATCTTTTGCTTCCGCGTTAGTTCTCATTGAGTTCCATGACCTCATGGAAGGTCATTAAAGTGTCTTAGAGGTGTGTTGTGTCTTGGGAGACTATTGTCTTGTTTCTTGCTTCTGCATTTGGATCCGCTATCGAGTTAGTCTTCGGTTCATCACAGGACGCAGTGGCTTGAAAAATCAGGGTCATCACAATGTATATTTTACCAATACGTAACAATGCCAGTTATCCAAATACTAATAACCACTTAACCCAAAATACCACTTACAATGTTAAAATAAACCAAAAATAGACAACAAAATACGCTGCCTTAACAGGGAATTTCAGTCGACCGATTCCCTAATTCGGTCGGCCGAAACACCTACATCGGTTGACTAATACACTTCATCGGTCGGTTGAAACACCCACATCGGTCGACCGAAATACCTACATCGGTCGACCGAAACAGGTCGTCTTCTTCCTCGCGACGGTTGTTCCAGACCTGTAACTCCACTGTTCGGGTCCTAAATTGTTGTATTGAAGTTTAATATGATTATCAATATTATTTAATACAAAAATACATAAGCCCCAACAATTAAAACAAAGAATCATGCATTAGTTTATAGAATCACATACAATCAAGAACTCATAATAAACACATAATTAGTTCCTGTTTTAATCTAATTAAAGCATGCAAACAGATTAATTAATCTTATATTATCACCCTAAAGTAGTCCTAGACATGCATTGAACCCCAGATCAAAGAAGAGGAGTAGAACAAAGAACTTGCCTTTAAGGTTCCGGAATGAAAACCTTATCTCCTTCTTCTCCGATCAACTTTCTCTTTTCCGGCGGCCTTTGGTTTCCTTCACAGACCTCCTAGAGTTCGGCCTTCATCTCTTCCTTGGCCGGCACCCTCCTTCCTTCTTCTCTCTCCCGATTTCTCTCTCTAATTCTTGTGTCTTTCTCTCTGTCTGCTATAAAGGTTTGCAACCCTTTTTATAGACCAATAAGTATACACACACACACACACACACACACACACACACACACACACCCCCAGTCTTAATCACACTGCAACACACGTAATTTAAGGAAAAAGAAAGAAAGAAAGAAAATAAAAGAAAATAATATAGTTACTATAATAATAATAATAACAATAAATCTACTTATATATATATATATACACACAACTATATATATATATATATATGATACTAAAACTTCCATGTATTATTAATAATTAAAAACACTACTAATATATACCGTAATAATACACGTATATATGTGTGTCTATATATACATTAATATTTATATATATAACTCATTCCTCCATTAGTATTAATAATAATATAATAATAATACTAATCATCATAATATCTATATATATATATATATATATATATATATATATATATATATATTAAACTAATGCCCATGGGTTATAATCCTACACAGTTAGGCTCCTATCCAAGTAGCTCATGAGACCTATTTGGTTGGTCCATTACTACTATCCAAAACCGTTCCTTTTAAATTAAAATTAAATAATTAATTATTTAACTAACACATAATTACAAACAAGTACACAATCAAGTCATATAGATCACATTACACAGATACACACAAACAAAACCCACATTACACATCAACCAATTAAATAATTTAAGCACATAATTTAATTTAAACAATTAATTCCATTAACCATATAAACAAGTAGTCAAATAATCAAATAAATAATTAAAAATGCAATTAAAACAAATAAACAAATACCGAGACTATCCTTGTAAAATTAAGGGTATTATAGCACCCCTCCGGACCTAATTGTTCAAGTAATCTAGGCAACCTAAACCCCTAATGTAACAAGCTTTCAGCCAATGACTCTCAAACCAGATGATCTTAGGGCATTAGGTATCAAAACACACCCCTAAGGACTTAATTGCTCAAGCAATTTAGGTACAGACCTAAACTTGACCCTTTTTTACTTTCTTTCTTCATTTTTTTTTTTTTTCTTCTCATTTCTTTCATATTGGTGAAGAATTTTTTATTTATTTATTTTTATTTTTATTGCACATATACCATTTCTTTCCTTTCTTTCTTTCTTTCTTTTTTTATTTTTATTTTTAATTTTTTTTATGCCTTGGTTATCAAAATCATCAAATTCACCTGCTCATTTCAGTTTAACTCAAAACAAAATAAGACTTCCAGTTTATACCCCACAGAATTCATGTAAGTGTAAATATGTGCAAAGTGGAGTATTTCAGAGATTAAAATCATTAAATAATAATCATCCTAACAAAGTGGACCATAGGCCACCAACTGATTTCAAAAATTTTCAAAAATTTCTTTTCAACATAACCTTGGCATACTAGCCATCTTTAACCAATATCAGACTGTATAAAGAAATCATGACAATCAACAGACTCAAAATCATGCTTTTAACATTAACAATTCATGACCTTGTTTTCAATATATTTTCATCAAAAATTTGAAATTCCCTTACCCCCAAACTTAGTGTGTACATTGTCCTCAATGTGTGAAAACAAAAGAGAGTTAAAAAGATAGTACCATACTACACCAGACCAGCAAAGATATACTAATATGAAACGTAGAAGGTCAAAATAGAGAAATCACCCTAAACTTAGTCCTTAGTACCTGACAAAATTATTAAATTCCAACACACATCAGAGTATCAAGTATATGAAGTAATAACAGAGAAAGCATGTATATCAGCACAAGTGTATAATAGGCAAAAAACATGTATGTATATATTCATGATTAGTATAATGCTTTGAATAACAGACTTAGGGTAGAAATACAACATATAGAATGAAATAAATAAAAAATATTGCCCTAGTCAACAAAAGATGCCTATCTATCAAAAACAAATATAGAAAAGCCCTAGATAGCTAATTTATATGTGATGGTAGAGGGTCTGTAGAAGTAGAATTGGCAGACGGAGTGCAGCGTAATAGCTCAGCAAGAATGCTCTGCTGCTCAATCAGCATCTCTCACAGCAATGTATGGCTAGCTTGCAGCTCTGCCACTCTAGCTTGTAACTCTCGAATCTCAGCCTAAAAAGTACTCTCAAGCTGGGCTGCCTACCTCCTCTATGGTGCCTAGCCATCAGAGGTATCCATCTCATCCTCTGTGGCCTCATCATCATCTTCATCCTCAACTATAGCAGTAACTGCTACATAACCATCATCTCCAAACTCCACTACATTGCAGTGATTTACCGGCATATGTGCCCAAATCTTATTCCATTCCTTCATTCCAAACAGAGGAGATTCGTCACATGACTCTTTCTTATCCACTATAAAACCCTATAGCTCTAATATCCTGGTAATCATATATGGAAAAGGTAGCTTATGGGTTGGAACATTCTTATGCGGTCCAATCTCAGACCAAAACTCAAGCAACTGGCAGAATATCATCCGGGGAAACGAATACCAATGCTTAAACTGAATAGCATAGAGTGCCTGAAGAAAATCAGTATTCCTAATATTCTTATGTCCAAGAGGATAAACATTAGCAGAGATAATAGAATCCAAAATCCATAACCTCTTTGAAATCTTAGCTTTGGTAGTACTACTGTGCTTTCTCTTGGCAAAACTACCATCACACAATTCTTGAATCAAATTCTTTGCAATTCGTACCCTAGGAAAAGGCTTATAATTAGGACAACTACGCCTCTCATCTACCACCTAGGGAAGCTTATGATAACACTCCAAAGCTACAACAATTGCACTAGGATTAACAATCAACTCATGCCCATCTATCACAGTTCTAAACTCCCAAGGGTCATTCTCACTATAAACAAAGTTGAGATAAAACAATCGAATAAGACGAGGATAAGCAATCTGAGTAATAGGAACCATAAGATGCAGAAGGTGCCTATAACTAAAGGATTTCATAGCCCATCGAGTGTGAGGATTAGTAATGAACGCCTTATAATCAAAGTTCATTTCATAGGAAATTAGAAAAGTCTTCTAAGCACTTGGTAGAATGCCTTTAGTCACCTTAGCACAAGCTGCAAAAACTTTCAACTAAGAAGAGTCCCTTTGCCAGTCAAAAATATATCCCCATCTATAACTTGCCATAAGAGTTCTATTAGATTTGAAAATCTCTATTTTCCTTATCAATGGAAGCCATTAAAAAAATTCAAAATTTCATTCAAAGAGAACAAAATTATTAGTTTCTAAAATTATCTACTATCTCTATCCTAAAAAGAGTCTCTTTTAAAGAACCGTGACTCTCAAAAATTGAGTCACGGTTCCCAAAAAGAGAAACTCTTTTTTAGAATTATCCCTTGGTTTTTTTCATTCTTTTCTCTTTTACTCTTTAAATTTATTTTAAAGCAAATACCTCACAACTTAGTTGGATAAGAGTTTCTCGAGAAATTTGGAGTGGCCAAGCTAGAGACGCTGCACCTACTAACATAATCTAACATATAACATTTCTTGCTTTATTGAAAAAAAGAAAAGAAAAATACATATATTCCTTTTACAAAAATGTTAAATTTTTTTTTTTTTTTTTTAAAATTAAACTCTAATTTTTTTTTTTTCCCTCTAAGTTTTGATATTTTTCTTTCCTTTTTTTTTTTTTTTTTTTTCCTTCTTCTTTAAATAATACTTCTTCTTTTTCTTAACACTGCCTGCCCCCTGAACAGAAATATTGCCTCCACGTTAGAAGGTGAGGAAATTAAATTCACATTTAAATAGTATTGTGATTTGAGAACTACAACACCACTACATGCAAACAGAAAACTGCCTATTGACTTTCTGGAAAAAAAAAAAAAAAAAAAAGAAAACTGCCTATTGCTAGCCAATAATATTCAGCCCGGTAGTTGTAGATTCCGAAAATAAAACAGTCCAAAAGGGCTATTAGTATCCAATCTTTCAGAACACACATATTTTTAAAGTAAGTTTCCGAATGTCATTGTGTATTTATTTAATTATTCATGGTTTGAAGAACATATGGATGAACAATAAAAGTAAGCTCTAAATTCTAATGACTCAGATGGCTTCATGTAATAGATGGATAATATATATTAGCAACAAAACCAATAAAGTACGTCTTGTATAAAATTCAAAGTTTGTTACAGACACATATCACGATTTCTTAAACAACAAAAGTAGGAAATATAAGGGTGATGATCAATACACAACTTATTCAAACCAGACTGATATAAAACATGAAAAAAAAAAAAAATCACACAAAAATAAATAAAAAAAACATTCTTAACAATCATGATTAGTTAAATAACGAAGGATGGACATCCTGTGATGATGATACACTACTACCCAAATGAGACCATGTTGAAGTTGAAGCAACACTACTACCCAAATGAGACCGTGTCAAAGTTGAAGCAACACTACTACCCAAATGAGACCGTGTCGAAGTTGAAGCAACATCCCAACACATTGTGAGTTCATTTACATTCATCTTCTTCATAATTTTGTTGAATAGTAGATACTCCATGCGACGTTCTAATCCCTTCCAATTCAATTGCAACTTCTTTCATTGTAGGCCTTTTTCTCCCACTTGAGTTCAAGCATCTATTTGCAAGGTTTGCGACTCGCGTGATCTCTTCTTTCCCACTCTTTTTGGAAACTCGAGCATTAAGAATGTCAAATAAACAATTCTCTTTTATTATCAATATGAAATATGCTGCCAAACTTCGTTCTTCAGATCTAATTGATGAGATTGGTTTTTGTCCAGTTAAGAGCTCAACAAGAACTACTACAAAGCTAAAAACATCACTTTTTTTTTTTCTGTAAATTGGCTTGATTGGAAGTACTCCAGATCCAAGTATCCAAAGGTCCCCTGTACTAGTGTGGTCATATGACTTTGATCAATGGCAATTGATTTTGAAGTCCCAAAATCTGACACTTTTGCTCTGAATTTCTCATCCAACAAAATGTTTGTGGATTTGATGTCCCGATGATAAATGGGTAAGGAAGCTGCTGAATGAAGATAGGCAAGAGCCCTTGAAAATTCTGTAGCAATCTGAATACGAATATCCCAGGTAAGTGGAAACTCTTCGTTTTGCTCATGGATATACTGGTAAAGGGTTCCATTTTGGATATATTCATAAAATAGTAAGGGAAATTCTGCCTCCAAACAACACCCATGCAGCTTAACCACATTCCTATGGTTAATTTGTGATAAAATAACAACCTCATTAATAAATTGTTTAAGGTTGCCTTCATCCACTGTCTTGGACTTTTTAACTACTACAATTCTACCATCAATCAGCATTCCTTTGTATACAGTACCTTGCCCGACCTCTTTGACCAAGGATTCGGTTATCATTAAAGTGGTCAGTCGCCTTTTCCAACTCCTTTAAGGTAAACAGTTTGGTTCTTCAACATTACCTTGATCACCTGAAGACAATTGTTGTTGCAATAACAGATGTTTAAAGATTTTTCGTTTGAGCATGAGTTTCTTTCTCCTCTTCACCAATTTATACAACCACCATATTCCAGTAAGTAGAAGTAGTAATCCAATACCCGTACTTAAACATGCAAAACTCGGTTGGAAAAGGTCATTTAGTCAACCTAAACATCTCATGGTTGAATTTAAATATTACTCCCTTCATTCTCAAATCATTATGGAAAATTCTATACTTCACAAATTTGGATTTGTAATTTTATCTCCAATTAGGTTGCAGTTTATTTGTCAGCTTATTTGGCTGCTTTATGTGTTTTAGAATGTGGATTTTTTTTTTTTTGTTTTTCCCCTAATATAGGAAAGAGCGAAAAAATAGCAAAACTTATCATTATAGAATCCAAACCTTATGATGTAAGCGGAAGTGATAAATTTGTTCACGAGGAATAGGTTACCTTGAATCCACAAAGTGGGTGTTTTGAATCCACAAAATGAAAAGAGAATTCAGATAAATCTGATATATTATTTAATAATTGAATCAATGATCTGCTTTGTAGTACATGTATTTATAAATAAAAACCCTAACAACATAAAGGAAATCCTAAAAACGTAAGGAAACTAGTAGCGCAAGGAAACTGCATAAAGAAAATCCTAAAAACGTAAGAAAACTAATAGCACAAGGAAACTGCTCAAAAACAAACTTGCTCTGAATATTCTTAAAAAAATAAGGAAAGAAACTTAATTACTAAAAACTACTAAATACCAAAAAAGAAAGCAAATCGAATTCTTTTAGTCTTCTAACGAAAATCCTGAAATATTCAAAAATGAGAAAACGCCATTCCCGAGCCTTAAATGATTGAATTTGGCTAAAAGACGCCCTAACTCGGTAGCAAAGCTGCTGATATATGCGAGTTGGGCCATTTCTGATAAATCTGGGTTCTTTTCGGGTTCACTTCGGGATCAGTCCAGAAAATCTGTCAATATACTCGTTTGGCTCCCTAGCGGTCCAAACGGGCCATAAAGGCTTCAACAATCAGTTCTACATTAGTCTCCCCTACTTGATAAGAACTCGTCCTCGAGTTAAGACTGAAAGAACGCGTCTCATCTGGCAGAAAATACTTAAATACATCTGCAACATTAAATGTAGGAAAAATGGTCATGTTTTCGGGAAGGTCAACAACATAAGCATTATCATTAATCTTCTTCAGAATCTGATAAGGCCTATATTTCTTGTTCTTCAATTTGTTTGTAGGTACCAACAGGAAACCTCTCCTTGCGTAGAAACACCATAACTAAATCTCCTTCTTGAAATACTTTCTTCTGCCTCTTCTTATCTGCTGTTTCCTTGTATTTCGCATTAGCTTCTTCAAGATGCATTCGAACCTCATCCTGAATGGCTTGGATGTGATCTGCTATGTGTTCTGCAGCAACACTCTTTCCAGGCAGCTTCGGAAGTGGGGCCAAATCCAACGCATGCTTTGGCGGATGATACTAAACAATAGCGAAAGACAACTTGCCTGTTGACCGATTGACCATGCTATTATATGTGAATTCTGCCTGTGATAACGCAAGATCCCACTGCTTTGGTTTCTCACCAGAAATATAACGAATCAAATTGTCCAAAGTTCGATTGACCACCTCTGTTTGACCATCAGATTGCGGATGACTAGTGCTACTAAAATTCAAATATATATCAAAAAGCCTCCATAAAGTCCTCCAAACATGGGATATAAATTTGGTGTCCCTATCAGAAGTGATAGACTTAGGAACGCCATGAAGATGAACAACTTCTTTGAAGAACAGATTTGCAACATGTGTAGCATCAGAAGTCTTCTTGTAAGATATGAAATGAGCCATCTTAGAATAACGATCAACAACTACAAAAACTGAATCTGCCCCTCGTTGAGTGCGTGGAAGTCCTAGGATAAAGTCCATAGACAAATCTTCTCACGGACAATCTGGTGTAGGTATAAGGATATAAAGACTAGTGTTTTGAGACTGACTTTTAGCAGATTGACAGATTGGACACCGCCGCACATGGTTGCCAACATCCCTTTTGAGTTGTGGCCAATAATATCGCTCTTCGACCAAAGCTGTGGTCTTATCTCAACCAAGATGTCCACCTAGACTGCCACCATGTAATTCATGAATAATCTGCTCATGAAGGGAACTCCTCGGAACACAAAGTTGAATACCACGAAAAACAAATCCCTCATGTATGTGCATACTCTCAGCAACCTGTTCAGTCTGATATTTAGCCCAAAATTCCTTGAAGTCATCATTTTCCCTATACAACTCCTTCAAATAGTCAAAACCCACAACTTCAGCTTGCAAAGTCACTAGGAGTGCTGCTCTTCGGCTAAGTGCATCAACAACTTTGTTCTTACTGGCTTGACTTATGCCTTAAGGAAAAGGTAAATCATTGTAGAAAAGAAACCCATTTAGCATGCATCCTGTTAATATTATTCTGGCTGTTGATGAACTTCAAAGCCTGATGATCAGTGTAAATAACAAACTCTCTCTGTACCAGATAATGTTCCCAAACCTTTAAGGCACGTACCACTGAACAAAACTCAAGCTCATAGGTAGTCCATTTCTTCCTTGCATCACTAAGCTTCTCATTATAGAAAGCAACTGGTCAGCCCTCTTGGGAAAGAACAGCACCAACTCTAACGATTGAGGCATCACACTCATCCTCAAACAATTTCTAAAAACTTGGTAATGCTAGAATAGGTGCATTGGACAGTTTTTCTTTGATCAACACAAAGCTCTGTTTTGCTTCTTCACCCCCATTTAAATTTTCCCTTCTTCATGCATTCTGTAATAGGAGCAACAATACTTCTGAAATTTTTTATGAATCTCTGATAAAACGTTGCTAAACCATGAAAACTGCGCACATCGCCTACTGTTTTTGGCGTGGGCTATTCTCGAATTGCTCTAACTTTTTACTCATCAACCCGAATGCCTTTAGCACTCACCACAAAACCCAAAAACAGTAAACTGTTGGTCATAAAAGTGCACTTTTTCAGATTGATGTACAACTTGTTTGCCTGTAAAACTGTCAGAATCTCCCTCAAGTGCGATTGATGCTTCGTATCTGACTGACTATAAATTAGGATATCATCAAAATAGATAACAACGAATTTGCCAATAAAAGGTTTCAACATCTGATTCATAAGCCTCATAAAAGTGCTTGGAGCATTAGACAATCCAAATGGCATCATTGACCATTCATACAGACCCTTTTTAGTCTTGAAAGTAGTCTTCCATTCGTCTCCTGGTCTAATACGAATTTGGTGGTAGCCGCTTCTCAAAATTGGAAATCTGTACTTGATAGTGATCTTGTTGATGACTCTACTATTGATATACACACGCTAACTACCATCCTTCTTTGGTACTAACAAAGTTGGAACACCACACGGACTCATACTTTCCTTTACCATACCCTTCTGAACCAACTCCGTAACTTGGTCCAGCAAAATCTGGCACTCCTTTGGACTCATACGATAGTGCGGTAAATACGGCAGACTAGCACCAGGCACAAGATTTATGTGGTGCTGAATATCTCGCATAGGAGGTAGACCACTAGACAAATCGTCTAGAATAATCTCCCAAAACTCTTCAAGCATAAGTTGTATCACTGTTGGAATTGTAGAAGGAGTATCAGACATCTCTTCTCTAACCACCAGCGCCAAAAACTGTTGCTCACTGCCAATTAAAAGAGCTGATTTTCCCTTGGCTTGTGAAACCTTGGAAAAATCCCCTTCGGTCATAGGACCCAGCACAATCTTCTGCCCTCCTTTATCAAACATGTAAACATTATCTCTGCCCTTATGAGTGGCGTTGACGTCAAACTGCCATAGTCTGCCCAGAATCAAGTGACAAACATCCATATCAACAACATCGCACAACACCTCATCAATATACTTATTACCAATAGAAAAGGAAACCCGGCAGATATCTGTAACCCTTGTTTCTGCCTTTTTTTTTTAATCCAACCAATTTTGTAGGGACTTGGATGCTTTTCTGTTTTCAGCCCTAACTTCTAGACCATCGCCCTTGACACAATATTCTCGCTGCTGCCACTATTAATAATAACATCACAGACTTTCTTATAATTTTACTTTCGAGTAAGCATTCCAATATGCCAGGAACATCGGAATCGAGGAATGGGTATTCCTTCTTCTCTAATTCCTTTAGCATAGGACGTTGTCTTTCCCTTTCTTGAAATTGGCGGGACTTTTTATCATCTTTCTTGTTATCTTTAACAAATTTCTTGACTGGGGTAGTTAAGATAGTCATGGATTCTTTAGCAGTGTTCTTTGATGACTTGTCGCTCTTCTTCCAGTCCTTCTTATCCTTGCTTGGTTCTATGGCCACCGGACCTTTGTCGTTGTGGGATTTTATACTGATCTCCATGTCATGGGCACGCGTAGCCAATTCTTCGATTGTGCGAGGTTTTATGCCTTGGAGAATGTAAAGAAGGCCCTAATGTATTCCCTGCATACACATCTTTACAGCAAAGATTTTTGACAATCGGTCATTGCAATCAAGACTGAGTGCTCGCCACAGATTAATGTAGTCGATTATAGGCTCATCCTTCCATTGCTTCGTGTTAGTCAATTCTATTATACTAATAGTACGACGAGTGCTATAGAACCTGTTCAAGAAATCTCGTTCCATTTGGTCCCAACTATCAATTGATTCTGACTTTAGGTCGGTGTACCACTCGAACGTGTTTCCTTTAAGGGAGCGGACAAACTGTTTAACAAGTAAGTTCCCATCAGTTCTGGCATTGTTGCAAGTCTCGACAAAATGGGCAATGTGTTGCTTGGGGTTGCCTTTTCTGTCAAATTGCTGAATCTTCGGAGGTTGGTATCCTACATGTATCCTCATACTATTGATTCTCCTTTTATAGGGCTTTG